AATATATTTTGATTATTTTAATGTATCGGAATATCATTTTTCAAAAAAAAAAATATATGTCAAGAAAAATTAATGAATTCAAAAAAAAAATTCCCCCATCTATGTTTATTCCCATTTACGTCTAGGGGTGTGAATCGAAATCGAAATCGGTAATTCGAAACTTTAAAATCAAAATTTTTCGGAATTTTGGTATCAGAATTTTCGACCGATTTCGATTTCGAATTCACCAATTTTGAATTCGAATTCGTTTCGAATTCAATTCGGAATTCGGTAAATTCCGATTTCACAGAATTCATGAATATAAAAATGATTATTATTATTATATATAGTATTATATATGTGTGTGAAAACGAAATTAAAATCGAAATAGAAATTCTGATTTCACCGAATTCATGAATATAAAAATTATTATTATATTATATATTATATATATATATATATATGAAAAACAGATTTAAAATTGAAATAGGAATTTCGAATTATCAAAATTTCGAATCAAAATTTTTCGATTTTGCACACCCTATTTACGTCAGGTGTGCGTAGGGCGTAGGGAAGCGGGGAAAGATTAAAAAAAAAAATTAGCATAAAGAACGTGACATTGAAGGAGTCTACGAGTCCCATCCTAATTATCCTAACGAGCTGGCAATTTTAAGGTTCCGTCCCAAAATAAAGGATGGTAATGAATTGTTACTAGTAACAAATTTCAAGAAATACGGGATGGTGGTGGTGGTCCAAGTATTGAAAGCGTTAAAGCTTTTTAATTGTGAATTTGTAGAAATCACCGGATACGTTTGGAATTGACGAGGGCATCCAGTCTGGGTGGGCCAATTTCTTAGATTATAGTCCAAAAAAGAAAAATCCGCCAATCATTGCTCAGATAGATTGCATGTCTTCACACCATACCTTCCGTGCTGATTAAACACGATAGGTGACCACATATTTTTTTTTTCAAAAAGGCCTTCCGTGCTCACAAAGTACGGTAGCCTCAAATATTTTTTTTTTTTTTTTAAAGATAAAGGCTAAGCACCGCATGCAATCTTCCCGCTTGATAAAGCTTTTGCAAAGGCTTCCCAATTGCTAAATTGGAAAGAATGGGCAGCATGCATTGGGAATCTAGGAGCTGGGAATGTGTGAAAAAAATCAGGCTAGCCTATATTCCCAAAATTTTTTTCAACTAACTTTAGATTCCCAAACAAACAAACAAATTCTATTTTTCTTGTCATGTCATGCAAGAGTTTAACTTATTGCTTGAATATTTCAATTTTACATGAAACGTTATCAATACTTATTCCTTTTTTATTTTGCAAAAAATAGTTTGAATATTTATATATTATCCATCAACATATTTCTCATATCTTTAGTAGCAAATTTTAAGTACGCAATTTCTCAAAATATGTTAATCATTTCTTATTATGTGAGCCAACATGTGTTGATTTCTAATATTTATCCAATGGCTTAGTCCTTATTTGGATTGTTAATTTTTGTGGAAAAATTTTACATTTTTTCGTGAAAATTCTTTTACATACTTTTTAAATTATTTTTTTATTTCGCATATATTACACCTTAACAAAAGTATTATAATAATTATTTCTCAAACTTTTCTTTATAAAAAAAATCTAAATAAATATTTGCTAAATGTTATAGGTAAAATGGAAAGAAAAATACTTACTTGCCAAAAAAATTTTTTTACCCCAAAAAAAAGGGTATAGCTAAAAATTTGCTAAAATGTTTCAAGTAAAATGAAAAAGAAATACTTGTATTATAATGCGAGGTACTACCAGCATTAGGGATGGCAATGGTGGAGGGTGACCGCGGGCACCCGCCCCGCGGGAGGCTAATGGGGAGGGGGTTGGGGAGAATTTTTTCCCCCTGCTAAGAAATGAGGCGGGGGGCGGGGGAACTGCCACCCGCTTTAAAAAAATAAATATATAAAATATATATGTATATAATTATATATAATATATAATTTAATTAGTTACAAACTTATGATAATGATATTACTAGTGTTATGTATTATATAATGTTTATTAGTATATATAATATAATTGATATTATTAATTATACTAATAATTATATATGTGTACCAATACAAATTATTAATTGGTTATACTAAATTTACTAATATATTTATACTAAATCCCTAATTACACTTAATACAATAATATTTTTTTCTTAAAAAAAGCATAAGCACAATAATAAATTAGTGATTGTATTTGTGCCAAAAGTGAAAACTTGACTACTTTAGTTATATTTATTTCATCATATTGGATTGTATTCAAATAAATTTTATTTGATTGTTTTTATAAATTTTAATTATAAAATTATAATGAATAATAATTTGATGATATGTTGATATTTTAGTACGTGATTATTTGTTAAAATTTAACTAAAATAAAATTATATAATAAATATTTATTAGCCCCACAGGAACACCCCTGAGGGAAGGGGGCAAGAGGAGCGGGAGACGGGAGATGGGGCAGCAGTGAGGGGAGTCTGTAAGCAGCGGGGCGGGGGTTGGGGAAGGGTTCCCCGCCCCGACCCCACAGTTGCCATCCCTAACCAGCATTAGCCTAACAGAGAGAAAGAGCTGACATGGATGGCGAGGAAGGCATGTGTTTCTATCCTACAAAGTTGTCCTATCCTATCCTATACCTGCAAAACAAGGACAAGCTCAGCAAACAACCGTGCAGACTGTGCAGTCCGTGCTTTTTTTTGCAACTATCTAAAAAAAAAAAAAAAAATCTCAGAAATGAGCCATCTGGGTGGCTTCCGTTTGCCTACGTGGAAATCTGTGCTTTGTCATCAGCATTCTCTGTCGCAATTATGGGCGATCGAGACAAATTTGGCCGCAATTCAACTCAACAGCGGGGCGCAGCGTCCGTTACTCCAGACCATGCGGTTGCTTCTAGTGTGCAAAGTGGGAATTTCTTCCTACCATGGGCAGAACCACTACAATCACAACAAGTCCGCCTGGGACCAGTGTGCAAAGCTTACGAGTCCACGCAGGCTTAGGCAACCGGTAGGCAATCATAGGTGAATTACGTAGCAGAGGAATGTGGGACTTTCTAAATGACTTTTTTTTTTTTTTGAAGGACTTTCTAAAGGACTAAATTGCATATATGTATGTACATTTGATTGGGTTGATAAATTAATCATCATCTAGGTAAATGCTCAATTAGGAGAACATAAAGAACCGAGAGACAATAAGACATTAAATGCCAAATTGCTTTTCTCAAAACATGAATCCGATGCCATCATTTTCTAATTTTAATAATATTTAATTTCTGAGCGTATGATTGTTAAAAACTCTTTCAATTTCTCTTATGATGGTCAACTTTATTGCTGAACCAAGTAACTAGAACTAATTATTTACTAAAAGTTTATTATTCACTCTCACTATTATTAGTTAAATGATAATGAATTTTTGTTGAACCCATGAAATGTTTGGTAGTAACTAAAAAAATATGGGTTTGTTTGGATAGTGTATTATTTGGAATAATTACTGTAATATTTTTTGTGATGTGATGTATGTGAGATAAAAAGGTGATTGGGAATATAAAAAGATAGGTTGAAAAATATGTTTATGATGCAAGCGAAATATTATTTGAGATAATTTGGATATCGAAACACTCTCATAGGTATACGTTTTACATTTTTTCCTCTTTTACTACTTCTTTTTCTTCCCCATAAATAATTCAACTCAACATGTCAATATATCTTGAACAAAAATACTCTTTTACTCTATAGCATTACTACATTGTTATTGTCACTCTATTTCTTTAAATTACAGTGATACAATCGCTTTAATCCCTAATATTATTTTCTAAGTATTTTACCTCATTTTTAATATAACTAGCATAGCAAAACAATTTTAAATGTATTTACCTTTTTTATATGTAATTAAAAATAAAAAAGTTGGAATGGTTATTATTCATTTTTTTCACTTTAAAAGATCCCAAAACAAAAAATGAAAAGGGTTTTTTTCAAATTTATTTTGTCGCACTTATTAATACTATGAAAAGAAAAAGAGACAGGAAAGTAAAAAACAGAAAATTAGATTTTGCAAAGAAAGAAAATAAAGAAGATTCTAACATTATTATCTTACTTTAAAGTTGTCGGTATTAGGATTGGAATTAAGTGATAAACAAAAAAGTAAAAATAATTTTAAAATAATAAAAATATTTAATTCTTTCTTATTTTTATTTTTTGAAAAAAATCTCTCTCTCTCTCTCCCCTCCTAATCTTTATATATATATTTTTTAATATTCATACGATTACCAAGGAAAAAGAGATTAATACTTGCCACTCTAAATTTTTTATTATTCAGAGATGAGAGTATTTTCTTCTAAAATTTATGATTATTTTATCCACAATCTCAATTCTAGTTTCTTGAAGTATTATGTTTATTAAGTTTGTGATTACTCATCTACAAATTCGATATTAATTTAAAAGTCACCATGTTACATATAAGATTATTTTTCTAATTTCTAAATTTAAATTAAAACCTACTAGATCAATTATGTCACGAATCTGGTTTCTTGAAGTACTGTGTTAATTATGTTTCTAATAAAGCATCTATAATTTTTATTCTAGAAGTATTGTGTTAATTATGTTTCTAATAAACCATCTATAATTTTGATTCTAATTAAAAAACTACTGATAGTGTATACACTATCACGATTGGATGCACGACACACATACAAAATTTGAGTTTCAAATTTAAATTTAGATTATATGTCATGCATCTAATGATAAAAATGGATACACTATCATGTATAAAATATTAATTCTTAGTAGATATAACTTATATAGGTTGACGAAATGCATGGCACGCCACAGGAATATTTGCCTACAAGCAAACTCGTTCGGTGTTCACCAGTCACCACTCCAATCCTTTCCTGGATCCGTGATTGCGTGAATAGAAAAGCAACAACACAATAAGCAAAGACCAAATTTAGTTTTTCAATTTTTTTTTTGGTAGATAAAATATAAAGAAAAGGTTGGAAAAATAACGTATTAACATAGGAAAGATTATTGAATACATATTTTCCAATATCCATCAACATTTTATACACAAAAACAACTCCTTCGGCCATTTTGGCACCTTCACATGTGAGTCTCCTCCATGCGGACATTCTTCAACATCAGTAGCAGCCAGCCAACCCATGCTCTATCTACCTGTAACACAGACAAACTCACCAAAGAAACAAAACAGATTGAAACTAAATTTAGTCCAATCGCCCCGAAATTAAACAGAGAGAGCGGAATACAGATTTGTACAGATAAATCTCATTCACAAGTCATAACCAATGAAATAAGTGGTATTGCAGATTCCACCACACGACTATCAACATTATAGCAAAGGAGATCAGCAGCAGTATCTCGAAATGCAGTCCGCGTCAATAGCAGGCCTCCCATTTTTTTTTTTTCAGTTGGATACAAGGGAGGGGCACGGCCTCTTACTCGGAATTAGTCTTGGGGCAGCTACCCCAGTTACATCCGCACCTGGTAGCTCCTTAAGTTTTTCTGGTGGGGGATCTATTGATCCCTGGTTCCATTGGCTTGGGGCTGCCTCTTTTGCTAACCAATCAGCACATTTGTTGCCTTTTCTCCATACATGTTTAAAGCTGCATGATCACTCCTTTCTTTTTCAGCATTCTGATTTGTTGCACTATGTTATGATATGGTGATGTTTCCTCCGCTACCTCAATCAAGCCCATCCCTGCTTTGGAGTCTGATTCAATAATCACTTTCCTGTATCCTTTCTCCAGGCTAGCTGTAGGTCTCTGAGGATTGCCCATAACTCTGCTAGAATATTGCTAGCGGTCCCTAGCCCCACTGAGAAGCCTCCTAGCCAATGACCCGCCTCATCTCTGATAATTCCTCGTAGCGGGGCGGGGGGAATTAGTAGGCAGCGGGGCATCCCTACACAGAATCCTCTGAAGGCGGCCACCATTTGATGTAGCATTCCTGCCTGGGCATCTTTCCAATTCCATTTGCGAGTACTTGCTTTGCTCGCTCTGCCAATTGCAATAGTACAGTATGAGAAATTTTTAATAGTTGATCTTCCCAGTGCTGTGGTTTTACCAGACTTCTCCAAACAGGCTTTGTCCAATCACAATCCCTTATAGCATGCATGGTGGTTTCCGTGCACTTCGTGCGGATTGGGCAGATGTCTTCTTGTACTAGCTCTCTCCTTTCTTCTCGCTTTGAGTCATCAATTTATCATGCCTGAGCATCCAAAGAAAGAACTGCCATCTATCCGATCCTTTTAGCTTCCAGATTTTCTCCCAACTCCCCAGCGAGTTCATACCAGGCCTCCTTAATCCATCAGTCCAACGATGTTTGGACACGTGTCAAGTCCGAGCATGTTTGTGTAAGCTACCATACAATAGACAGAGAAGAATGCCAGATTCTGAAAGTGATAATCCCGTTAGTCCCTGGGGCTTCCCCGCCCAGGTGGACGCAACCCTGCCTAATGCCTTCCCTTTTTTAAAAGTTAAAACCCTAGTTACAATGCCTACATACCCCTTAAATTTCGTACGATAATATAACTGCCCCATCGCAACCAAATGCCTACAAAACTTACGTTTGAATATATATCCCTCAGTTTTCTGAAAAGTTTCTTCAGTTGAAGAAAGATGGCAGTCCTTCCCCTTCATCATCAAGTGCAAATTTCTGTAATCTGATTCCGATCGAGTCTGAAAAGAAAATACACCACCAAAAATATTTTGGGAAACGAGATATGTATGTTTACCAAATTTATAAATACTTGTTTTCACGTTACTATCACGGGAAAAAATCCATACCCAGAAGCTACATACATTAAAAAAAAAAAAAAAATTCCTCGAACAAGATATTGATGGTGCCAAGATCAAAGATCAATTACCAAACTGAAACACAACCTACCTATTAACAAACATACCATAATGTAGACTTTTTTTCTTTTAAAAAGTAGTAATTTATGTATCCTCTCGGCATGGTTGAACATTTCAGCCATAGCATCTTATGGGATCATTGCAACCCTTAGCAGCAGACTGCCCAAAACCAAATCTACCCCCTTTTTCAAGGTATTGTTGGTGATACTCCTCAGCTCTGTAAAATTTCTTGGCAGGCAAAATTTCAGTAACAATCTTCCTGTTCAAAAGCTTCTGACGTTGGTCTCGGGATTCAAGTGTAGCCTTCTCTTGTTCAGGTGTATAAAAGTAAATTCCCGATCTGTATTGAGTTCCAACATCATTCCCCTGCACATTGCAAGTCAAACTGTTAAAAAAGTAATACAATATTGATATCATGAACCTGAGAGCAGAAGGCCAAAGCTCCCAAGACAACAATGCGCTCCACTGAAAACAAGTAAAATACAGAAAAATGTTGCCAATTTCATAAAAAAAATGGCCTATTATGAGGGTGTTAACTATGGTTTCAACATTAAAGGTACTAACTATAAAATTAGTCTGGATCTCTACACACTAAATTTTAAAGCTGGAATACGCTGAGGGACCCTTCAGATACTACATAAAAGCTATTTACTTTACCAAAACTTATTGGGAAAACATTATCTATCTTTCAAAAAAATTACTTCCTGAAATGAAGTCCTAGGTTCTGACAAAAATTCTGCCACAACTTCTACAGACTTCTCGAACTCTTTTTCTAACAATCCGAATAGCACATGAGAAATCACCATTATAAATTCCCAATATGCTACATAACTTGATTATGCCATTCCTAAAGTCACCACGATCCACCTTTCCAAACAAACAGCAAATGCTACACCACGTTTCACTTAAAAATACTGTTCATTTTACCACCAATCATTTTATTTATCAACTTCATGAAGTCTCATTATATTGTCATGTCTAATCTTGAATCAAAATATAGAAAGGGGCTCCATCATTGTCCTGCCTCAGTTTCCCCACCAACACCTACCCGTAGTCCACAATACACTAATAAACAGTCATATGATCTTCTCACCTCCACCCCCCCCCCCCCCCAAAAAAAACAAAAAAAACCCCAAAATAATAATAATAATAATAATCAGCATCATGATCATGTGAACTAATAATTAGCAAGCCAATATGGAGAAATGCAATGGTGCTGCCTATCTGAATGAGTACAGCACAATGAATCAAGGAACAGCACTCATGCACAACATCAGCGGCAAAAATGCAGCTTTTTTATGTAAAACCTGTAAAATAAAACTGGATTAATCTGGATACCAAACTCCATCGGGTAACTTCTAACTTCTCAGTTCCTGACACCACCAAACCCCCCCCCCCCTTCTGAGGAAGACAAAGTATCATATGCAGGCTTCGAAAACACCTCAAAATTACAGGCTCCAGAAGCCAAACATCTAAAAACAACAGAAGCAAAGAGGTTCAAAAGTCAAAACAACCAAACTACAATGAAGATGTCAGTTTGTCGAAGTCTTCCAGTTTGTACAGTAGTTATCCAAGAAAAAAGGGGAAAAAATTTGACATCAGAGGTCCATAATACACTATAATTATCAGCCTGATGTAAAACTAAGCATCAAATCTTTGACTTGTCTTAATTTCAGCTCAGTTAAATGTAAAAAGGAACTGAAAATTATCCTTAAAAATCTAAGGAAAACACAATGCTACTTCAATAGAAATTATCCGTTATCAAAAAAGTTGGAAGTCATTAGCAATTCCAACCGAAATTCATCAAAATCAACCATCAAAATAACCAAAAGAAGCAAGATAAAATTCCGAAGAAAAGCTTACCTGGCGATTGAGAGTGGTGGGGTCATGGCGAGCCCAGAAAACATCGAGCAAAGTATCAAAGCTGCACTCTTTGGGATCATACTGCACTCTCACCACTTCGGAATGATTAGTAGTCCCCGAGCAGACGTCCTCGTAGCTGGGATTGTGAAGATATCCCTGTGAATACCCGACCTCTGTTTTTGTGACACCTGGCACTCTCTGGAACGCTAACTCCACACCCCAGAAACAACCTGCTCCGAATTGAGCGAACTGCTGACCGGGAGCGGGGATATCATCATCTGGGCCTTGGGCAATCGAGGAGTCCATGGAGGATTCGGTCGGGGTACGCGTCCCGAAACCCAGCTTGTTGAGCCAACTCATTCTCGGGGATGAAAAGAGAGAATTGGGACGGTTGCTGTCGGAGGCGGTGGTGGTACAGGGGAATTTAAAGGAGGGTTTCGGGAAGGAGAAAGAGGGTTTTGAGAGGGAACGGAGGAGGAGGAAAGGAGGGGAGGCTTTCGTGGAAACGGCGTTAGTGCTGGTGGTGGTGGTGGTGGCGGTGGTGGTCTTGATGAGGAACATATTGTGATTGCTACTGCTACTACTACTCCGGAATATAAAACTATGTTTGTGGCCAAAGGCAAAGATGGAATTTTGCTTTTGATGAGGTGCCAGCATGCGAATTACGTGAAGATTCCTTCAAAAAAAAAAATACGTGAAGATTTATCTAGTACTAGTATATTATCAAGGACTGATCCTTTCTTTTCTTTTCTTTTATTAGCTTGTTTCTGTGTTTGGAATTCTTTTCTTTTATTACGTTCATACATTTTTATCTTATTAGATTACTATTATTTTTTATTTGATTTTGGCGAGCAACTTTGATCGAATGTGAAAGTGCGGTGTACTATTCTCAAACAACAAAAACGTCGGATACGTATTACTGCTACGCGTGAAGATAGAATATACACGTGGGCTTGCAAGAAACGTCGTCAATTTATTGCAGCAGAATTAACTGAATTCTTTTTGTTTTTTTTTGCTGGCAGAGAGGAAATTGTTATAAAACTAATGAATATACTACAATAGGAATTGAAGAAGTATTAGAAAAGAAGTAGAGAAAGGGAGAATGATATCCTTTATATTTCAACAAGATACAAAAGTACTGCCAAAGGATCTCAATGTACCTCTATATATAGGCACTACAAGATTAAAGGTACATAAATCCTATTAAACATCCACTACTACAATAATATGCAGAAATCTATGAAACGGTTTCTCCACTACATGAATGGATTTATAAATTGTAACTTCTATACATAAGTAACCATAAAATTATGAATTAATCCCCTTGGGAATACAAAGGGACATCCACATTTTTGTTATTTCATAACAGAGGCAATGGTACTTAACCCCCCGCTTCAATGTTCTGGTGGAAGTTCAGAGCCTCTGCTTCAATTTGTCGGGAAAAATTCACTTTTCGTCTCTAAACTTGAACACGAAGACACATTTAGTCTCCAAACTTTTCAACAGAACACATTGAGTACTTAAATTAACGATTTTTGTCATATTTAGTCAAAAAACGGGAAATTACACAAATTGGACAGAGAAAACCACGTGAAACTCACATGGCCGTTAACAAAAACTTCCTGATCATTACTTTTTCAAAAAATCACTATCACTAGCAGTACTGCTGTCCGTGCACATCCTACGACTTCTGCAATCACATAGTTTGATTTTAGTAGCAAATAGAAATTAGTGAATTAAATACCCCCTTCAGGCCTCCTATAGCCCCATGTCTCTGCTTTGCTGATAACCTCCAGAGATTCTTGATTGAAGAAAGTGAGGGGGAAAAAAAAAGAGGAAGAAGAAGATAGCATAAGGGAATTAATAACGATAGACATCATGAGCTTCAGCTTCAAGAGGAAGAAGAATACTGGTCTTCCTTTCCTCATTTTGTTCCTCATTCTATGGAGCAACTTGACAGGGGCTTCAGTTTCTTCCCTAATAAAGCGTGCTGGTTTACCGTGCAATGGTACCTTTTCCACGTGCTTCTTGGAAGGCAGCATGGAATCTGAAGGTGAGGTTCTCAGGCCCTATGCTACACCTGGGAGATGGCTGCAATCCCAGCAGCAAAATACAATTGGGTACAAAGCTCTTTAGAGGAAGCCAGTTTGTAGTGCGGCTCAATACAGCAATTGCATAGTCCAAGTTAATGCTGCTAATGGGCGCTGTACTGACTACAATCGATGCAAGCATCAAAATCCTATTTGATTGCTAGCCTCTGCTCTCCTGCCCTTTTTTCTGGCTTTCAATCACCAATGTTGTATTTAGTCAAGCAATAAAGGGATTTACTCTCTGTTGTTGTATAACTTTGTATTTGGAAAGGGGGAAGCTTGGAGGAGAAAAGCAACCCTGGTAGAGAGAGAGTAAAAAAGTGGGTTCTACCAACGTTTTTTTACGGATAATTGTGTTTTTGTTAACGGCCACGTGAGTCTCACATGGTTTTCTCCGTTCAAGTTGAGTAATTTCCCGTTTTTTGACTAAATGTGGCAAAAAATCAGTAATTCAGGTACTCAATGTGTTCTGTTGAAAAGTTTGGGGACTAAATATGTCTTTGTGTCAAAGTTTAGGGATGAAAAATGGATTTTTCCCTCAATTTGTCGAAGTCCTCAATCTTTCTGTGTCTCATACAGAAGGATTTTCTCTTCTATGGTGGAAGAATCCAGACCGCCAGCAGGCTCTCACCATTTTGGACACCGGGGGATGTTGGACCAGATTCTGTCTGGTGAATGGGAATTTTAAGGCACCTTCATATAAGTAATCAACAACTTTTTGGAAATGCGTTGAAGTCGGCGAACTTGGCCTGCTTATCTTGGCCATCGCAGCAAACAAATTCATTTAACGAAATTTATCCGTACCTGTCTATGAATAGTTGGATATAGGTATATTAAATTTTTGTCGTATAGTTATGAATGAGTTATCCAATTATATTTATTTAATAGATAAGTATAATTGGATAACCCATCAAACCCAATTAATCCATTTAGAACTGTCTTCCCCAAACCTCCTCTTTTCACCCACCCATTTAGAAGAAATTTGAGATCCACATTTGATTATCGAACTCATTGTTAGAGATTTTCATGCATTAATATCGCTGAAACCATATATATAGTGGAATGTTTTATTTTTTAGCCTTAATAAATATTTGATGCATTTTTTACACAGATATATATTACTTATTTTTTTTTCAAAATTTTCATTTTGTCATGATGTTGATTACTTTTATTTTATTTAATATTATTATTTATTAATTTTATCTTATCATTTTATTTTTTTCTCATAGTTTGTTAACTTGCCCATTTTTTTAACATTACAAATTTATGACAAAATTTAGTCTCTTTTCCTACCTTACCAAAACAAAACTTGAATTCACACAAAAAAATGATAGGAATTCAAAATTTTTGAATTACATTTTTATGTTAACTTTCATAGTACATAGTTCAAATTTTTATATTCTTATTATTCAATTATTAATAATATATAATTTTGCAACATAGAACACGAATGGAAAAAAAATTGATAATTGAAATTATTGAACATTATAAGTAAATATTTAAAACTAATGATGGGTGCAAATAATGATATAAATTGATAATTTACTTTGCAAAAATGAATTTAAATAAATTTACAAAAAATTAAAATAAATGAATTATAAATAAATTATTGGATCATCAAACTCATTTTTTGACTTACTCATTTATATCCATATAATTATATGGATATAAATGAATTGACTCACTTGCACCAACTACCTATTTCAACCCGCTCAAATCACCCATTTTCACACCTCTATTTATAAAGATCCCTGAGGAGTTCGTTGTGCAAACTGGGAGTTCACACATTTCGGAATCATGGGATGCTTTTAATTCGTCTAGAGTCCAGAGTAGATAATTCATGTTGCTAGACTCAATCGCCCCCGGAATCTGAAGAAATTGACTATCATCAAATCTTCGCTTTCCCCTGGACTTGTATTATTTCAGCTATTGGATGACTAGCTAGAAAACTTGGCAGTTCTGAAATTACTTACTGGAGCCCTTCAGGGGCAAAGTGGGGACACGAGGGAAGGGGAGTTCCTTGGACTTGAGTACTTACTGCTCATGCTCATGACAAACATGATTATCATTGCTGAAATGCCTACATTGCCGATGATTGAAGTGCAATCCGGTCGGTGAACAATACCGAGCGGGGATTAAAATCATTATGAGTACCAAGATTCATCTTTGAGATCGTCATCTGATCTGATGACGATGAAGTGCTGCTGTATTGTTCCACTTCGATCAATGGCTGCGGCCTGGACAGGAAGCATCATCAAGGCTTGGGCACCTCAAGAACGGGAGGAGGATGAAGTTCAATGCAGATATGGGTTCTTGCCCAGCTTTGAATTTGAACTCTCGTAAGACCAAGTTATCATATTGCCGTTATATAATAACAATAATAAAATCCAGCATTCCAACTGCCAAACGAATATGAGGCAAACAGAACAACTCTCACATTTTGAGTCCCTGCGCTACTCGATTGGGAGTTTGTCTCACTTTGAGAAACATAGCATCGTAGTAACAACCAGCAAATTAGAAGATTGTGCACAAACTCAGACCGACAGAACATGCTGACCGGAAATAAGAAAAGACAAATATCTCATCACTAGATTTGTTTTGCGTTACACAATTCACCCTTTAAAACTAACACAATACCTACACCACCTCCGAGATGCAATAATCACGTCTTAAATTAGAAACAGGAAGGAGGAGCTGATCAGATGCGAGTCAACCTAGGCTCAAGCCTGAAGATCCACTGATTAATGCGGAAAAGAGGGCTTATCAAGAGCAAAAGGAATAGATATTCAATTACACAACTAGCATATCACAAACTTCATCTACTTGAACAATCACCCAAATCAACGCTATTTATAAGTTTAAATATATAACGAACTTATCAAGGCAAAGGACAACAGACCAAGCAACTTCAAAACACATGGCTTTCCTTCTGTTCCAGGGGGTGATATGGCTGACACTCAAATGGGTTTGATCTTGAAGTGGAGTGAGATAAGAGAAAACACGAAACACTTCAAATCCTGCGATTACATGACAGAACAAACAGATATTCTCAGAGAACCGAGAGTCAAAAAGCACTATTCACGCTCAATTCTATCAAAAGACCTAGCAGTTTGAACAGCAAGAGGGTATCATGGTTCTGATTGTAGGAAGCTTTAAGAATAAGCATGATAATGGAGGAATCAATGATGTTGCAATCACAACCATCTATTCAGCCATTCATCAGATCGGTAACAAGAAACATAGAGAGAACAGCACAACACGGACAGATATGTACTTCAGAAACTTCAAATCCGTAAGTGTCAAACAATGGGAGTACCTATTGACATCAAGAAAGAGAGTGCACGGTGAAGCCAAAACGAACGTGATCCTTAAAACTTAATGCTAATACCCTTTGATTAAATATTTGACAGTCTAACCAGGTTGCCCTTCCAAACTGTTGATGTAGATAACCCAAGTTCTAACTAATGCTACTCTATACTAAGCCCAAAAACACAAATTACTAGCACGCAATTTTCATAAAAACATCTTCAACTTTCTATGCACAATATGTACGCCTAAAACTGAAAATTCGATACTGAACCAAGTGGACACTTGCAATATAAACTATACAACCCACTATAGATATAGTGTCATATGATGACAAATTCTAGCCATCCCTTCAAATTTGAACATCAGCAAGACCACAACCTTGAAACCCCAGCCCAAAGAAGCAAGAAAATGAAAAATATGGAATAAAAAGTAAGGGGGAAAAGGATACAAATGCATGTCATCAAAGTTTCTGCCTTGGGTTAGACAAGCACAACTACATTAATGTTATCCGGTTTCTTTTTCTTCAGATCCTCAAAGATAAGCCCAGATACCCATTCTATTTTCACTAAATTAATATTAAAAAAAAACACCGTGCAAATGCAAGGTTATTTACATGCATCAATGGCCTGTGAAAAAACTAAAAACAGATTCTTCTTCAAAAGGAACAGTTGAAGAACAATTTAACAAAATAACAAGTGAGCCGCAAAGAATATAGTTCTCATGGTGCAATGGCAGAAAAATCTTACAACAAAGCATTGGTACAACAAATGAGAATAGACTCCAGAAAAATAAATCTTTCCTACTTCAATCATTTCCAAAAACAGCTGCCCATGAAAGAGCACCAGGATCCTCCCATTCCCTACCATTCTACTAACCTTCTGCAGGAATACTCCCATGTGGCCTATGCATTCTATTCATATATAGAATACAAGCCAAATGCACCTTAAACAAACACAACACCATAAAGCTAAACCAATAAAGTGCTAAGAAAGCTCCTCTATAGCAATCCAAGAACTAAGCGTGCTTACAGTTACAAACCTGCGCCACAGGTTTGAGAGAGAGAGATAAAAGGCAGAAAGGGGCCACTAACGACCAACCATTAAGAATCATGCCGAGTGAAATATGAGTGCCAGCTCCCTTTCAAGTAGGGAAATGATTGAACAAATAGACAAGCTCAAGAGATCTAAGAAAGAATCAGACAACTTTAGGATTTCCTTACTTTCCAAAGTCTTTTAACTGTATCCATTAAACGTCTATTTTATTGTGCCAACCATCTGTTTAAACGCATTGCTCATGACCTTAAAACACTATCTTCCAATTCCTTACTCTTGCAGAAGAAGGACGACCATAAAATTCAAGGAAATTGAACAAGGAACAAAAGTAAACTGAATAGCGTGTCATGAACATACATTAAGGGGCCAAAGCAGTAGACACATTACCTGAACAAGATAATAGAAGATTCGAAGACCTTCAGGATCTTTACTGGTATTGACATCCACGAGAGAACCAATCTTAGCAGTGGTAAAAGATATGTGCTCGTTCCCCATTACAATCTCCAGCTCTTGCCTTCCAACGCGATCTGGTTCTGGCCAATTGTTGTCATCTTCCTTCATTATCTAACAAACCAACAAGAACTATTTGAGTAAGTCTAACAATCTCCAGCACATCTCACACCAAACTCCCCCCCTGGGGAAATTCCCTTTCATGATAAGAGGGCTAGGGTTTTTCCCCAGAAAACCCAAATTAATATTTTAAGAAGAAACTAAATTCACCAGTCAAGAAATTTAAAAAAAATAAAAATAAAAAGCAACATCTATGGGTTATTAATCCAAATCAAAGATACAATGTAATTGTTGGATGCAAGCACAACACATCTAAAGAACTAAACCCCCAAAAAAAATTGAAGGAAGGAATAAGAAGGTAAAAAGGTCGGACCTCGCTTTCAACGACGATGCGACGGCATTCTTTTAGAACGGCGGGGGTGACGAAGACCTCTTTACGGATCATGGTGTCGTTCTTATAGTTGGAATTATTAGCATACCGCAGCTTGCCGTCGGGCCTAAACTCGAACTCCAAGAACTCATGCCCGAATTTACCCTTGTGGCCGACATAGTACCTCAAGTAAAACTCCCCTGCATTTTCGTCCCCTGTCTCCGCCATGACTCTCTTCCTCCACCTCCTCTTCTTCGTTCCTAGCCTTAGATGCTTTTTTCTCAATTCTTTTTAATTCTCAGCCCCTGCCCTTCTCAGAAAGCGGCGTGCAGGACCGCAAGACTTCACTTTTAGGCTTGGGCCGTGGGCCTGCTATAAATGTTCCAAGTGTTGGTCGTTATGTGCTTTCTCGATTCTTCACTGTGTTTTGTTCCCGCCAAATGTAGACATACTCTAAGGGTGGCATGGAGCAAGAAATTTCTCGGATAATTTTTTGAAGAAAAAAAAAATTACAGCAATTTACAGCAATTTTGGATGTGACGTAACGTATGTAAAATAAAAAAATAATTAAAAAATATGTTCATACAAGCAAATAAAATTTAGCAAATATTTCACTATAAATTATGTCACGTTCGGTCAGCCGATAAAACTATATATTGTGACTGTATATCAAAAATTATACTCCCTCCGTCCCGTTTTGTTAGTCTTGATTTTTTTTTTCACACAGATTAAGAAAGTGTAATTAATTTGGTTGGAAACATAAATTCAGATTAATAATTTCCTAAAATACCCTTATGCTAATCACGAAGAGTGCCAATTAATATCAGTTACAGCTAATGGGTTAGTATTGGAAAAGCTCAATTTATTCAATGTAGTGGGTTAGTATTTAATAACAATGTATTAATAACAAGATATTTAATAAGGGTATTTTAGACAATTTGAAAGATTACTACATTTCTTAATGGGAAAGTATACTACAATTTGGAATAGACGAAAAAGGAAAAAAAGACTATCAAAGTGGGAGGGAGGGAGTAGCAAATAATATAACAACTGCATGAATTCGAACAAAATTCAGTCGTACTTGTCCCAAGCCTTAGTTACTACCCAGAGAATTGAACTTGGCCTTATTGCACTCTTTGATAAGAGCATTATAAGTTCCAAACCAAATAGATGGAAATCTAAATCATCAATGCATTCGAACCGTATAACGCTTTCACTGTATGAAAACATGTTTCTATTATTGTATTGTACGGCAATTGCATGTAAGCTGTATAATTATAATCTGCTATTGTATGGTAACTATGGTTCAGCAATTACATATAAATCAAGTGTTTGTGCATAATATCAGGTCGAGCTTTGAGTGGGTTGGACGTGTTGTAGCCCAATTCAATGCACCATGAAATCTGGCTCAATTATGCCCAAAGTTAGCTCTGCTCACCTGCACATGACCCCACACTTTAAACGCAAACCTTTAATTGACTCTATTGAATTAAACTATTGTCAGGATCATGGCGATCGAATTATTTTTTGTCAATAATTAATCACTAAACACTTAATCAATAAACTCGTGGTCATTTCGTCGGTAGTGACTCTTTGTTTGGATTGTGAATTATTTGTCAAATTATATCTGCTTACATCATCATTACAATTTCCAACGCACCTTTTTATTTTTTCAATTACCTTTTTATCTCATATATATTACATCACAAAAGTGCTACAGCAAAAATTTCTCAAATAATTTACAATCCAAACAATTTCTAAATTTAGCATGACACGTGACAAAGCATGGAGACAAATTTATCCAACAATTTACTGACCGTTTACCTCAGTTTTCATTAAACCCTTGAAGAGGAGGGAAGGGAAAATCTTGGGTTAGTGTGTCTGGTCTTTTGTGGAGGAAAAAATAGGGACTCCATTGGGAACCCTAAATTGGATGTCAGAAATCGAAGAAGCCAAAGAATGTCGAGACGCTCTCCTAAACCATACCGTGTCTTGCAAGATCAGTTGAACTGTCGAGTTAAAGGCGAGTCTGTAAAGCCTCGTACCTTCCATTGTCCTAAGGTTCGTGGGTTGTTCGCCGGTGTAGTTATACTGGATTGGCGGATTCCCCAAGAAATCATCGGTGAAGACATCGCTGATATTAAAGAAATGTGCATTAAGGAGCGAGATCTCTAGCTTGATGAATGAGATGTTGTTGAAGAACGCAGCTATTCGCGATCCATGGATGCAAGTAGCACAGGGGTTGAAGCCTAGGCCCATTGTGAAAAGGAGAGAATGATCAACGGTCAAAGGGACTCTGGCGGGTGTCTCTGTGAGTTGAGGCTTTTCAGGAAGTCAACGAATGCTGTAGCCGAAGTAGTAGCATTTCTAGGTGGAAGGTCTGTTAATATGGTGGAAATCGGAGAATAACAAAAAAAAAAAAAAAATGGAGGAAAGCAACATACTCTTAAAAGGCAAAATAAATGATTATAGACTAGCTATCAAAACACACACAATGCATATGCAACTTGTCAACAAATATTTTTAATTGAAAGAATCACAAAAATAGTATAAATATAACTATTTTATGTAATATGTAATAAAAAAGTGTATTATAGAGAAATATATACAATTGAAAGTACAAAAATATCATTAGCAAAGGAGAACATGAAAATTGAAAAGATGTAATTTTGGATGAATAGGATTTGTATGTCATTGATAATAAAGATGACGATTAATGAATAATAGAGATGATGGTTAATGGATTATAAATATGAGAAACAAACAAAGTCAACACCTACACAGACATTATTATTGTAGAGATGTTGAGCAAGTTTAACTACGTAAAATAAGCATGAGTTTTTACTTCAAGTTTTTTTTTCTGTTAAATAAAAATTTAAAATTTTGATTAAAAACATATACATGAGAATTTTGAATATAAATTGGCCAATAAATTGTTAACACGTGTTCAAATATAAGTGGTTGGACATATGTGTATTGAATTTTATATTTATTATTTTGAATTATTTTTAAATAGGTTGGGTATTGGGTGTCCAAATAAAATAATCAACCTGTCTAATGAATAAGTTGGATTGTTCTTATATAATTCAACAAAACCTATAACCCAACTGAACTAACCCATTCTTTAAAATTAATGGGCGAGTTGGGTGAATTATTAGGCTTTGAAATTTTTTGCCAACTCTAATGCATTAGTAAGGGGTGGTAATTTCTGACATGACACAACAATATAACTTGAACACAAAATTAATAGATTTTAGGGCAAATTATCCAATTGGCCCTTTAACTCTTTGTTTAGGTAAAATTAAGCCCCCCATCTATTTTTTTCTGACTTTAAGCCCTTGAACTTGTAAAACTGATAAAACGTGGCCCTTTTAGCCAGTTTCTCCGGTTTTGCAACCGGAGAACCAATTCACACGAATGCAACTTTAGTTCTTCAAAGGGCATTTTTGTCCGCATATTGTAAACAAAAAGCGCACAACTCCTCCCTCCCTCCATTTTTCTATCCCAACCCTACTTCACAGCAACAATGGAAGCAACAATGGAGTGGCAAGAGAAAAGGTTTCCTACATTTTGCTTACCCATTTTCATCTTCCCTTAAGGATCTTTGCGGAGGGAGAAGAGCAAGAGAGAATCAGTACTGTCGGCTTTGGGTATCATCGACATTGAAGCAACAAGGAGTGACAAATCAGGCCGGAAAATCATCGACATTGAAGCAAGAGAGCAGTCTGAAAGGAAAAAAAAGGGGGAGAAGGTAAAAGCTTTGTGAAGGGAAGGAAAAAATGCGCAAATATCGCGGCCCTCTGCTTCCTACTTGTCGTTGCGGTAAAGTCACGAAGATGATTACTTCTTGGACTGATAGAAATTCAGGAAGAAGGTACGCCGTTTGCTCAGAAGAAATTGGTGGCTGCGGGTATTGGAATTGGATTGACGACGAGATGTGCCGTCGTTCTATTGAGGTGATACCAGGCCTTCTAAGGAGGATCAATGCAACAGAAAAGCAAAAAGACGAATTTGAAACTGCAGCCGCGAGATCCGAGGCAAAAGCTGCCAAGTTGAAGGCAAAATTGAGAGAAACAGAGAAGCAGCTGCGGTGGCAAAAATGGTTGAACAAGTTGCTTGTAAGGGTTTTTGTGGTAAGTTGGTTGGTTGCTGTAATAATGGTGCTTACAGAGAAAAAAATTGCAGGTGGAGTCTCTCTTGGGATGCTCCAAATTGGGAATAAATGTAATGGGATTATGCAAATTGAAGAGGATACATGAAGGGCAGTGTGTAAGTGTAACATATTGGATAGGGGAACTGTCAGTTTTGAGAACCATGGATGGAGCAAATGGATCTATGGTGTATGATGCAGATGGTTAGGGAGAAGTATATTGTATTGTTTAGCTTAAACAAGTCTTTGTTGTACCCACAGATTAGTGTGAAAGTATGGTTGAACCCAATCAATGCTAACTGTAATTTTCGGCAAGTAATGTGATGAGAATTATTTATCCCAATTCGCATGTCATGGGCTTTGTTGGATTTATTTGATTTATCTAGTCAACAAAAATTGCTATACCAAACCATACAAATATAAGAGAGCAACTGCATAATATTAGAATATAATTAGCAAAAGGAAATTACAATGGTGTTTGCCTGTAAATACAGTCAACAATCACTGTCATAGGAAACAGACAAATACACAAAAAGCAGTGACCTGTGTCCATCTTACTAGATACCAAGCACAGGCACATGCTTTGATTCCCCACAAAAGCCTATTCAAAAAAATATCATTTATAGTTTCAACATTCTAGTTACATCCATTTACAGTCAACAAAATCACACAAAAATATTTGCAGGTCCAAGAATACTTCAAGAACTTGTTCCAGATGGACCCTTTCCTCTTCCCCTTCCCCTGCCTCTTCCTCTTCCTCCACCTCTTCCCTGCCAGTTTCCAACATTGAAAGGTGGATCTTTACCCAAATAAGCATAGTTGAGATTAATAAAACCTTTGTCTGCTTCTGTCAGTGGCCTTTTTGATGTACTTCTCTTGTTCCTATGAACTGCTGGCCTTGAGGTGGATTGTTGGGACTGAGGTTGATGTGTTGGCTGCTGTTGAGAAGGCTGGGACTGAGGTTGATGTGTTGGCTGCTGTTGAGAAGGCTGGGACTGAGGTTGCTGTGTTGGCTGCTGTTGAGAAGGCTGGGACTGAGGTTGCTGTGTTGGTGGCTGCTGAGAAGGCTGGGACTGATTTCTTTGTCCCTGATTCTTGCTTACCTACAAATTAAAGAAAGCATTTCAGATCTCAAAAAAAGGTCACAAACAGGCTGAAAGTTATAATGAAGTACAAACGCACACGTCGTCTTTTTGTTGGTGCTTCATGCTGCTG